TTGTTCAGGTTTTGGGTCATTGTCCTCAATTCTCGTGGCTAGGAAAGTCCGACACAGAACACAGCGGTGTGCTAAAGGCTGGGTCACTCAGTCACCGCCTCAGGTTATAATAATAATAACCCTTACATTCGATATAGTGCCTCATCTCGTTGTTGAGAAGTCTCAAAGCACTTCACAGAATATATATATTGTAAAGTGGATTGACTGTGTATTTTGGGGGTGAAACGCAGCAGCCAATTGCACACAGCAGCGTCCCACAAACCTTTTCTTTTAAGTCTCTAAATCTAGCCAAGTTGCAGCTTCTAATCTCTGGAAAGTAAACGTTCACTACTCGAAGATGAACTACCACTTAGAAATTAATGGTTAATTAATGGTTACAGTAAATAATCATAGAATGAGGGGGAGGATGATTAGCTCAAAAAGTCCATGTAGTTATAAAGCAAAACTGTTAAACATAGAAGGGAAGTAACATGAAGGGCTTAGAGATGAGATCTGATTAGAGTGAGAGAGAGTATAATGCTGGTAATCCTTGCATTTGATATAGCACTTATCATGTCGTTGAAGTGCCTATAAGCAGGATATACTGTAAAGTGGATTGATTCTGCAGTATGTGGGCAAAACGCTGCAGCCAGTTTGCACGCAGCAATGTCCCACAAACAGCCATGGAGTGAGGTTGTGAATGGAGTGAGGGAGGGTATGGGAGTGAGGTTGTCAGGTGAAAGGTTGACGTGAAGAAATGGGAATGCAGTTTATATTCTTTGCTCCCGTTTATTTTCAATCCCAAATAGTTGTGTAGTTACCCGTCATTAACACCAGGTGGCGACCCATGATAACACACACTGATAATAATGAACCTGGCCTTTGGTACAGTGCCTCATCACATCGTCGAGATGTCTTAATGCACTTCGTAGGAGTTACTGTAGAATGTAGAGACTGTGGTATTTTGTACGTGAATGCAACATCCAATTTGTGCACTGCAATGAAGAGAATGACTGACCACTTTTTATCTGGGGGATTGTCGGCCAGGACACTTTCTTTTTGAATAATGCCATGTGCACAGGACTTCAGTTTGACATCTATCTTCTCACTGTACTGGAGTGTCATCTTCAACTGTGAGCTCAAAATCTTGACGGGTTTGAAACCCACAACCTTCTGACTCAGAGGAGAGGGTTCAGGCTGTTTTGTCACAGAGGGTAACAGGACTTTGTGGACAACCTGTACACCCAGGCTCTTTTGGAAGTAAACTGACAAGAGAAAAGCAATTAACAAATGGTGCGTTTTCTGCACACGATCAGCCCGGCCTCCACAGTTTATCAGCTGTTCAGAAATGCTTCTCACCATTGAGTAGACTTCACACATGCTTCTCGTGTCTGGCAAAATAAACTGGTCATTGAACATCATCAGCAGATGGTTTATTTATTCAGAAAAATTATAACCAAAAGCATATTAATACCCAGAGCAAGTTACCAGAAAGTATAGTTGAGGAGAGGACACTGGACTCATTTAAAAAGTAGCTTGATGCTGTGATGGGGGAGGGACTGTGGACGGTAGGGCAGAATGGAGGGATGAGATCAGATAGGACGAAAGGTCTTTTTCATCCAAATCAATCTAATGATCTTGTAAGTCTTTCCCAAAGTTGACTTGCACTACCGATTTGGTGTTCTATGTACTGTGTCCCATAGCCTGGCCAACTGGGTAGGCAACTTGTTGTTGTTTAACTGGCTGCTGGAATAAGATAGACACCTTCCTGTATAATGTTTTCTACTGCCGTTCCCTTTCCCTGGCTCACTATTGATTTTGTTCTGATATTGATGATCCATTAATCACTAACCACTACCAAAAACCTGTATTTGTAAGCCTCTACCATTAACCTGTGCCACATCAGTTTGTGTGACTAATCTGCATCTGCATTGTGAACCATCCGCACGGTCCAGCTATTGTAAAACTCTCCTGTTCATATCCTAACCCAACACTAACCCACTAAACTCCATACGCCCGTCATATTATACATTCCCAAATATTTCTAATTCCTTCCCTGAGTTGATTTTTAAAATTTTTAATAACTTTTCCTCTTTCAGAGAGTCACCAAATCGGTATTGTACCATAACATTAATTGAAAATGGGCAAGATTGGCATGACTGTGAAGGTCCCATGCTCTGATAGAGGCTAGGCTTGAGTTCTAAGCACTCTGAGACACTACACTGCCTCATTTTGAGGGGTGCAAAATAAATGCAAGTTGTTAGGAACACCAAGCCAGTTAGGAACCCAGCTGTCTTGGTCGACCCTCAACTGTCTTTTCTTCCCCACATCCAAGCCATGATCCGCTCTACCTTCCCTCACCTCCGTAACATCGCCCAACTCCGCACTACCTCACCCCTCAGGCCGCTGAAACTCTTGTTCATGCCTTCATCACCTCCAGGCTCGATTATGCAAACGCCCTGCTTGTCGGCCTTCCCAACTCCTCCCTCCACAGGCTGCAGATAATCCAGAACTGTGCAGCCCATGTCCTCTCCCGCACCAAACTCCGTGACCCCATCTCCCCCACTCTCGCCCAACTCCACTGTCTCCCTATCCTTCACAGGATCCAGTTGAAGATCCTGGTCCTCACCTACAAAGCCCTCCATTGCCTTGCCCCACCTTTCAGGGATCTCTTACGCCCCTCCCTGCTCCCTCCGCTCAGCTGGCTCCGGCCTGTTCCATGTCAACAACAACAGCAACAACTTGGATTTATATAGCACCTTCCACATTGGATGGCGTGTCAAAGCGTCCCCCGACCTACCCGCCCCACTATTGGTGGGAGAGCCTTCAGCCACTCTGCCCCCAACCTCTGGAATTCCATCCCCCAGTCACTATGCCTCACCCCCTCCTTAGCCTCCTTCAAGTCCCGCCTCATCCCCCTTCCCCTCCCTTCTCCCTCCCTGATTCCAGCTCGGGTTTGAAATGCGGTACACTGTCCAGTGCCTTGGGACGTCCGCCCGACATGAAAGGCGCTATACAAATGTAATGTTGTTGTAAAAAGCTTGAGTTTGGCTTTAGTTGAATGAGCAGTTATGGTGCGTCAAGATAGTAAAGGTCCTTCAAATTGCAAAAACATTGGTTTTGCTGTTAAATTCAGTGACTGTTATGAATGCAAGAAAAGAAAGGGGAACAACTAAATAATTTATTGGTTGCTCCCTCTGCTTTGTCATTCCTAACAATGTTGTTCGTGTTTGGTGTATTTTCATTTTACCTCCTTTTTAATGAAGTATAATATTCCTTCTAATTTTTTTTTGGGGGGGGGAGGGTCGGCCGCAGTGTCTGCGGCCACATTGCAGAAACCCGTCACCGTGCTGAACAGTATCCGAAACAAACGGAGAATTCCAGGCTTCCCATCTGGAATTCCAGAGATAAGATTGTTGGACTGGAATGCGCACCCTCTCCCTGGAGGGATGCATCCTGCTGACCTAATTCCGGGAAGTATTCGGCCCAGGTAGGCAAGAGCCAAGGCTTGGGGACTCCCATAGGGTGCGTTGGGGTAACTGCCGGAGTCTAACCAGCTAAAACCACATCGCTTGCCAACATTGGACATGCTCTCGGCTATTTTACATTCACCGCCATGCCTTACCTTGCCGAAGGTTGCTGCTCGCTCTCCCGCTGCGTCGCTGTGAATCCAACAGGGATTTATCCTCCCAGTCCCAAGCGTGTTGGTTTTCCCGTTCTGTTCGAGGCAGAGGCACAAACCCTCTCAGCTGTTCACTTGAGTGAGGAGTCTTGTGCCTCCGGGACTGAACCGTGTGGAGTCTGGTGTGGCTCACAGCCATGTTAAAGGGTCTGCGCCGGCCTCGATGTGCCTGGCAGCCTGGCTCAGTGGGTACGGCTCTCGTCGCTGTGGGCCGCAGGTTGTGGGTTCAAATTCAGTCCAGGTCAGGACTTGGGAATCTCATGGTCTAAGCTGACACGTCAGTGCAGCGCTGGGGGAGGGTGTCGTGTTGTCGGAGTTGGGCGGGAGGGGGCGGGGTGAGGGTTGGGCGGGAGGGGGTGAGGGTTGGGCTGGGGGGGCGGGGTGAGGGTTGGGGGGCGGGGTGACAGTTGGGGGGGTGACAGTTGGGGGGGGTGACAGTTGGGGGCGGGGTGACAGTTGGGGGGCGGGGTGACAGTTGGGGGGGGGTGACAGTTGGGGGGGTGACAGTTGGGGGGGGGTGACAGTTGGGGGGGGTGACAGTTGGGGGGGGTGACAGTTGGGGGGGGCGGGGTGACAGTTGGGGGGCGGGGTGAGGGTTGGGGGCGGGGTGACGGTTGGGGGCGGGGTGACAGTTGGGGGGGCGGGGTGACAGTTGGGGGCGGGGTGACAGTTGGGGGGGGCGGGGTGACAGTTGGGGGGGCGGGGTGAGGTTGGGGGTGGGGTGACAGTTGGGGGGGGGCGGGGTGACAGTTGGGGGGGCGGGGTGAGGGTTGGGGGCAGGGTGACAGTTGGGGGTGGGGCGGGGTGACGGTTGGGGGGCGGTGTGACGGTTGGGTGGGCGGGGTGAGGGTTGGGGGCGGGGTGACAGTTGGGGGGGCGGGGTGACAGTTGGGGTGGGGCGGGGTGACAGTTGGGGGGGCGGGGTGACGGTTGGGGGCGGGGTGACAGTTGGGGGGGCGGGGTGACAGTTGGGGTGGGGCGGGGTGACGGTTGGGGGGGGCGGGGTGAGGGTTGGGGGCGGGGTGACAGTTGGGGGGGCGGGGTGACAGTTGGGGTGGGGCGGGGTGACGGTTGGGGGGGGCGGGGTGAGGTTGGGGGGGGGGTGGGGGGGGCGGGGTGACAGTTGGGGGGCGGGGTGACGGTTGGGGGGGGCGGGGGGGGGGGGGGCGGGGTGACAGTTGGTCGCGCGCTGGTTTGAATTGGCAGCGCCAGCACGCGAGTTGCGGCTGCTGTGGTGTGACGTCAGGCGGCGGGGGGCGGGGCCGGGGCGGGTCCGGGGCGGGGCTTCCGGTGGGCTGGGCCGGGCCAGCGCTGCGGTGACAGCAGCCGGAGCGGCGGGTGGAGAAGGTGTGGGGAGGGGGAGACGCACGGCGGCGCTCCGCAGCCCCTCAGCGGTATGTCCAGCGCACGGTGACGCCAACGGCAAAGTCGTTCCACCTCGTCTCGCACACCCACGCCATGGCTGAGAAGGGGAGACTCAGCCTGACCGGCTCCTCCGGGCTCAACAAGCCGGTGTCCATGAACCTCTTCGCCACTTGGGAGATCGACGGCTCCTCGCCCAGCTGCATTCCCAGGTGAGGCGGCCCTCCAGCTCGGGCAAGGCTGGCAGGGAGAGCGGCGAGGGTGAGGGTGAGGGTGAGGGTGGCACAGCCTGGAGGGGACAGAGGAGGGTAGGTAAGTGGGGGAGGGAGGGAGGGAGTGGGGGGGGTATTGCCCCTCGGGTTTGTACAAGGGATGGGTTGGGAGACGGGCAATGGATGGGTTTGCACACGGTGGGAAGATGATAGAGAATATAATAATAATAATAATAATAATAATGATGATGATGATAATAATCCTTGCATTTGATACGACGCCTCGTCGTCTTGTCGAGGCGTCTCAAAGCGCCTCGCGGGACACAGCGTCGAGCGGATCGACTGTGTGGTTTTGCGGGCGAAACGCGGCAGCCAATTGCGCACGGCAGCGTCCCCACAAACAGTCACCGCAAACAGTCACCGCAAACAGTCACCGCATTTTGTTTCAAAAAAAAAGAGAAGGGATCAGGGCCAAGGGGTGATGCCAAGGGACGATGGGCGGCACAAGGGGGGCAATGGTTGGTAGCTTTGATTGTACTGCTACTCGATTATACTTGGTGATTTGTAGTTATTGGTTATCCTGGATAATTTGATTAGAGTTGGTGGTGATACTTGGTGCAGGGGGGGGGGGCAGTGGTTGCCCAGGGTAGTGCAGCGAGGCCATGGCGTTAGTGGCATGTGCGGTGCAGGGCGGCGTGGGGGTAAAGAGAGATTGAGCAAAGTCAGGACTCAAAATCCATCTGGTTTACAATTTACATACAGTCAGTCAATTCACACCGCAGTGCACTCTGTGAACTGTGAAGCGCTTCTGGAAGACGTGATCAGGCGCTATATAAAATGAAAGGGTTATTATTATATTCTGTGAAGCGCTTTGAGATGTCTCCGCGATGTGTTAAGGTGCTGTATCAAGGATTATTATTAAGTGTACCAGAGGTGAGACTTTGCCTCTTCCCCCCCCCCCCCCCCACCCCACACTTCTCTACACACACCAAACCTACACAAACACACACCAAATTAAACTCAATTTCTCCCCTGCATACAGCACTTTATCGGAGGCCAGCGCTCCCAGAAAATCTCATTGATTAAGTGCTCAGCCTTCGGTGATCTTGAGGAATGTCGAGGCAAGCCTGGATGGGAATGTTCCCAACTTGTCGCTCAGTTTAAAATAATCACATTCTGTGGGAAAGCAGCACCAGAACACAGCTGATCGCAGTGCCGTTGGGTAACTGTACACACTTGTCAAAAGACAGGGGGAATTCTTCCCACTTTAGCTTAAAATATGGTTAGAATAGCCCCTTTGGTATCCATCTGTGTTGGATTTTTGCCAAATAAAATCGCAACTCATTTTGCTGCTATATATAGTTCTAGACTTGAGGCTAATTTACTTTAACTTTTTTGACTTGAACTGTATAGAGCTATACTTTTTTTCTTCGTACAAAAGCTACGTGTGCTAATGAAGCGACACTTGTGTTGCCCTCAAGCGTCTAAACATTTTGCTGCAGGGAGGTTGCTGCAATGCCAAAATCTATTTAACGTTCCTGGGATACGGAGCTCGATCCCAACCAATGTACTGAGTTCATGGGAGGCTGTTCTAAGGGAACAGTATGTAAACAATCTGTGTTCAGAGACCGCACGGGGATCTCAGTATTTCTCATCCAGTGCTCAGCAATTTAGCAGCAATTGAGTGGTGGATTTGCCACCCATCCAGTTGCTTTGCAAGCCAGGCTGGGCATAAATTGCAACATAGACACCACAGCGTGTAGTCACCAAAGTGCTCGATGACTCTTTAACGTCATTCTCCTTCTGTGCGTTGGATGTTGGAACCATCAGCTGAAAGCTGTCCCAATTAACAGCTCAGACGAACACTATCAGTGACATTTGAAAAGGAGTGCAGCAAGCTCTCATGGTGACTCCAGCTTGCGTGTGTTTCAATCATGCCCAGACATCCTACTGGTTCAAAAGTGAGCTGAGTGCAGAATCAAGTGCAACTTGTTGCTTTGAATATTGTAGAATTCAATGTAACTCTTGCCTCTGGGTCAGAAGTTTGTGGGTTCAAGATCCACATCAAGACTTGGAGCTCTTACAGTCCATGCCGACCCTCCAATGCACTGCTAGTGGACAGCACCTCCGACAGCATTGTTAAATTGAGGTATGTCCCATTTATCTATGCGGACGTTAAGGATCCCATGACACTATTCAGAAAGCGAAGAGAGTTTATCTTGCTGTCCTGACCAACAATCCCCCAAATAAAATGTGTGTCTCACTCCTTGGATATTTGTGGGTCATTGTTGTGCACAACTTGGCTGCCACTTTTCACCCACAGAATATACACATAGCCACATCACTTTACAATATATCATGAGAAACGCTTTGAGATATCTTGATAACCTACATCAAAAGAGAGGGTTATTGTTATTTATTAAAAATTGAATCTTTGCACTGTTTGTATGGCTTGCAAATTCGAGGATGCAAATGTAGTGTGTGCTGCGATTTACATATGTTGAGTTTTATGGGGAGGCAGGAATTCAGAATATCACCTGATTTTATGGTTTTATTGCAAATTTCTCATTCTTGCTGTGTCGTTGCAATGAAATTTCTATTGGGCCACAAATTACAGAGTTACCATTTTACAGTATATCCCAAGAAGCACTTTGAGACGCCCTCCTGACAAAAAGGTGCTATTATCAAATGCAAGGATTATTTTAGTGAATTGGCTCTGTTGAACTGGACCTCAACACCAGCTATATCAATCTTTGATTTTTTTAAAATTGATAATAAAACAACTTTATTTAATTATAATTTTATTTAACTTATTTTAGTTATTTATTTTAGATAATGTGTTTTTTGGGGGAAGGGAGGGTAATCTAAATTTTTAATGCCAAGGGCACTGAATATTTACCTCCATCTGGTATTTAAGATTACACTCGAGCACATTGACATCTTACTGTGCTTGTTGTGATGCAGGATTCCTGCTCGAGTCCCTGGATAATTAATTAAAAGCAACGAGAGGTTTCTCTGAAGACAACAAATGTGACCTTTGCTCAATGGATAATTATGCAATAATCCATATTTTGTTTTATATACTTCACCAAAGAGTTTGTTGTATTATATGAGGATATGGTTTTGCAGGTGTTGTAGATCTCTGCTACCTCACCCAGTGACTATTTTTACCGTGGGAATCTGGTTGAGGAGTTTGGGGAAGCTAGCTAATTGGGGTGGGGGGCATTATGGATGTGTAGGGAGGTTCACTGGATGGTGTTAACTGGCAAAAAATGTCTTAATTATTTCAGGGGCTTTGAGGCCAATTGTCATACCCCCACCGTGATTCCTGCTGAGATCAGCTAATCCAACACACACTAGGAGTGAAAACTGAATTTCTGTTTTGGGTTATTGAGTTTCACACTGGGCAGTGACCTTTTCCAGCTGAGCTGTAAGTCATTACAGATTTAGAACAAGATTTCTGTTTTGTCAGGGCAGCCTTGATGATGATAATAAAAATAATCCTTGCACTTGAAATAGTGCCTAATCACTATTCGAGATGTCTCAAAGCGCTTTGCAGGATATACTGTAAAGTGGATTGACTATGTTTAATCATCAATGCAAGGATTATTATTATTACAAAATTGAAACTCCAAATGACCATCAGTTCTGGCCAGCAGCCAGCAGTAAAATGTGACTCTCAGCTGATCATTTTAGTCTGATCATAACGTGCCCTTGAAGAGCTCTCAATTTACAACTTGGGAGCAAAATAGGGACTGAATATGTGTCAGAATGAGGGTGACAGGTTGAAACTCTGCAATATCTTTCTATCTCATTACAGAATGTTGAACCTTTTCATGTTTGTAATATTCTTGCCTACCCCCCCCACCCCTCCACCTGCCGCCTCCACACTGCCCAGCTGATTATAGTCTAAACCAGGGGTGGGCAAAATACCCCTGGCGGGCCATATCCGGCCCGCCAAATGATTCTATCCGGCCCGTCATTGTGTCCAGCAATGGAACAAATTATAGTTCATTCCATCCCAGAAAGTCGCACAAATTTCGCGTTTGAATCTGACCGGGAACATCAGCCAACCACACGGCTTAGTTGTGCGCGCGCTCCCGTAAGTGTTGCATCAGGCTGACCCCATAAATGTACGGATCGGCAGATTTTCAAACGCGAGCGCGGCAACCGCGGCAATACTTCTCACTGAAGAAGACGTTAGTTCGAAATAAGTTTATCAAAGAAGCGGAAAGTAGACGCTGAAGGCCGAATATTCAACAAAGAATGGACTTCTAAATATTTTTTTACCAGTGTGGGTGGAAAAGCTGCGTGGGTGGAAAAATATCGAATAAATGTCTGCTCAATGAATTGTTTTTATTTAACCTAATTTTAATGAATGTCAATTATATAGACTTTATTTTATGCATGTACAAGTGTAAGACTTGATTTTGAGCTATCATTAAGCGTTTGCATCTGTATTAAGTGTCTGACTGACACTCCAATGAAAGAGACTGTCGGAAACACTGCCAAAGATGTCACCTTCAAATGAGATGTTAAAGCAAGATCTCTTCTATCTGTTCAGGTGGACACTAATGATCTATTTGAGAAGAAAGTTTGCCTGGTGTCCTGGCCAACAATTCTCCAGATAAAATTGGTCATTCACTTCAAGGCTGTTTGTAGAGCGTTGCTATGCCCAAATTAGTTGACTCCAGAGTACACAGTTACTGCATTTCACAGTAAATATCCTGTGAAGCTCTTTCAGATGTTTTGATAGCATAAGGCAATATATTAGACATGATAAGGTGCTATATCAGATACAAAGATTATTATATCATCAGGGAGCCTCCAATCATGAACCATGTGAGTATAGTACCAGTGGTAATACTGATCCTTGTATTTATATAGTAATAGAAGCAAGATTGAATATTTGTTCTACACAAACATCTTCCGTCATAAAACCGTATCCAAAATGATGGGATGGCTTGTGGGGTGGGGGGATCTAACCATGCTTCAGAGAC